ACACACACGCGGGTACTAACCCGCCCCGCACCGACTTGTGGCACTACGGCTGCTGGGTGGGGAAAACAGCGAGGAAGGTGTGTGGAGTGAGATGAGGGAGGGGAAAAGAGCGGGGTGTTTTGCACAGGGGTCCACCCTCCAAGCACGCGCTCGCAGAGCTGGGGCTGTTTGCATAGCAGACTCGATCAATAGCCAAAGCCCCCTTAGACACATTACGTTTGTCCCTTTTGCCGAGGAGTAACCATCGCCGCCGCTCTCCTCTCTCCTCTCTGGTTTGCTATCTGAGCGAGTTCGGCCGGCTCCGCCACGTGTGAATTACACCCCCTCCGTTTGCCCGCCGACTTCATCACTTTGATGACATCCCGTCGCATGGACTCCTCTTTATCTCGCGAGGCGGTTCCTCTGTTTCCGCAATCTCGCGCCTTTGTGTAGATAACTCGTCTCACCAAACGTTCGATTGCACTCCCACGCCCTCGCCTCCCTCGGCGGGAGACTGGACGCTGGCGGGTTTTCCCGGTACATGGCTCGAATTTTGATTTTCGCACACGCGTGTCAACTCTTTGTAACATCTGGCCGCCAGATCGAAAATCGGAATTACCGCTAGTTTTTCTTCATCATTGGTGGGGTTGCTGGCAGCCGCCTTGCGTCCGTTGTACAGTGTTTCCCCTTCTTCCTACTGCCTCTCTACTACTAGGCGGTTGTGAAGTGGAGCAATTTCTTCCCGTTCCTCGTCTCCTCTCTCTGCCTCCGTCGTTCTCTCTCTCTCTGTCTCTGTCTCTGTCTCTGTCTCTCTCTCTCTCTCTCTCTCTCTCTCTCTCTCTCTGTGTCGTTTGCTTGCCCGCTTGCTCGCTCGCTCGCTCTGCCTCCGTCGTTCGGTCACTCGCCGCCTCTCTCTCTCTCTCTCTCTCTCTCTCTCTCGCTTGCTCTAGTAGGTAGATCAGCAGCAGTTTTGATAGGTAGAGAGAATTGATCGAGGGTTGCGGTGTATATAAATTGCCGCTTGATATCCGTTCGGAAGCTGTCGGCGGTATTGGCGTGTTGGGATCGCCAGGTTCGTCGAGCTGCATTTGCTTCTGTTTGTGTCTGCTTTGTACGAGTGTTTTTTTTTTTAAAAGGGGGGGGGTTTGGGAGGAGGGAGGGAGGCCCGCGGGGTCGACTAGGGAGCAAGCGAAGAAGAGAGAAGGAGAGAGAGAATGGGAGACGGAGAGCATCTGGGTCACAATGAGGGCGATGACGCTGCTAAGCAGGAGCTAGTCGTTCAACCGGAGGAGAACAAGAAGGAGACGGGAGGTGGGGGGGGGGAAGATTCGAAAGACACATCTGGATTGCTCGACGGGGATGAGAAGCCTCAGGTGATCACGCCACTCAACAAGTACACCGTTTGGCCTTACACCTGGTGGGTCATCGCGGCAATCTGGGTGCTGTTCTTCATCATTGCCCTGGGGGTGAACAACTGTCCTCGGCAGACGGACAGGCTCAAGGAATGCGAGCTGAGATGGCTTGGCGTGTTCTCGTTCAATCCGATTCGGCAGAACCCGCTCTGCGGCCCGGGACCTCGCGCTCTTGTCTCTCTCGGTGCGTTGGATCCCCGTCGGACGTCCAGGAGACACCAGGAATGGCGTGTGCTGACGTGTCTTCTTCTCCATGCCGGGCTCATCCACTTGCTAGTGAACGTCCCGACGACGATGTTCGTGGGCGCGCGGTTGGAGCGAGAGTACGGCACGCTCAGAATGCTGCTCGTTTTCTTCGTCTCGGCGATCGGCGGCGCGCTGTGGTCGGCGCTGTTACTAGTCCCAAACAACATATCCGTGGGCGCCTCATTTCCGCTCTTCGGGCTGATTGGTTGCACTGTGGCGGACATGTCCATCAACGGCGGGCTGTACGTAAATAAGGCGGTGGCAAGCGCAGTGTTGTTTTTTGTAACGTTCATTCACATCGTGTTTGGGTTGATGCCGTTCGTCGACAACTGGGGGCAAATCGGAGCGTTCCTGACGGGATTCATCCTGGCGCTGTTGGTGCTCATCAAGCCGCGATGCAAGTACGAGAAAGACGAGCCGCCTGAGGTGAAATGCGGAATCGACTTGAGGACGAAGATGAAGTTGCAGCCATGGGAGGAGGTGGTGCGAGTGTCGGCTCTTCTCGCGCTCGGCGCCGGGTTCATCTTCATGATCGTCGCGCTCTTCTCCGGCGCGGACTGGAAGAAGGACTGCGAGTGGTGCCGTCGGCTCAATTGCGCGGATGCCCCTGGGTGGGACTGCCCTCGCTACCAGCGCCTCCAGCCGGAGAACACGTATAAGAAGCTGACGTGTTTCGTGCGCGAGGTTGAATCCACGGGCAAGGGGACTCTCGTTTGCCCCGACGGCCGTATGGTCGACATCGGAACGGTGAAGGAACGGAGCCGGCAAACTCTTCAGCTCGTCTGTTCCAGAGCTTGTAGAGCTTGGTAACCCTTTCGGTTTCGCGGAGGACATCTCTGCAACATACGTGTTCGCGGAGGGCATCTCTGCAACATACGTCTTCGCGGGTCTCTTCTCTTGCTGCGGTTTATGCCAGAGTGTAGTGCAGCACCGGGCAGCGCGCGGCGGCACGGGAACCCTCTGGTGGCTCCCGGCTTTTGGAGAGAGCATTTGACGGACGAGAGGTAGGCAAGGGGAGGTAGCCACGTACGCGAATGTCGGGGAGTTTTACCGAGCCGACGAGCACAGGGAGGAGGGGAAGAGAAAAGCGCTAGGGGAAACGGGAAGGCGTGCGGCCGTGCTTTGGGGAGAATTCAGTGGAAGACGGAAGAGAGAATGAAAGCTTGCTCTGCTGCTGCGGATTCGAGTTTGTGCCCTCTCCGGGAGCCTCCACTTCCGCTCTCTCTCTCTCTCTCTCGCTTCTCGTTCATCGACCTACCTACCTGCGTGTATCGCTGCTCCGGCTCCAAAATTGACTCGCTGACATCTCTCTCACATGTGTGCGCACGTGTATTCGCTCTTCTTAGTACGTTAATGTTTCGCGCGTCCGTTGATTTTGAGTTGTTGAGGGAATGCTGTAGTGTGTCGGCGTGAGTAAAACGGGAAGAGAGACTGCGGAGACCTGTTGCTTCCATTGACGCGGACGACAGATCGGAAGAAAAAGGGCATTTCGTACCCTGTTTCTGGAGTGTAAGGAGGCGGCTTTCGTGATCCTTACCGCGTTGGCGTTGTTTTATTATCCTGTTCGTGCGCCTAGCTGTCGCAGCTGACGTCTGGAACCTTTTTTTTTTTTTTTTTTTTTTAATGATGCCGACGTTGAGAGCATGGATGGAAGTCACCCTCATTAGTACTTCGTTTGTCATTCCTTGCCTTGTGTCCGCTTGCGGTCATTTCATTCCCTTCTATCACTTTATGAATTCCGCCACCCGTTTCCTCTCTCTCTCTCTCTTTCTCTTTTATTTGGCGATGACTTGTCCGTCATCTGATATCGATCTTCCGTCGGTTCCTTTTCGCCTGGTGTTAACCGATGAATGTATGGGAAAAAAACGACATTGCCTCGGCTTCTTCGGTCCGAGCATGGGTGCTTTTTTTTTGTTTTTTTTTTCCTTCTCGACCGTTTTTTCCCTATTGTCCTCCTTCGCTTGATGCGTTCCTTGCGTGATTTGATCTCTGCTTGTTTTTCCTTCCTCTTGTTTCCGCTTTTCGCGCCGAGAATCTGTGTTTATTTAAAAGATGGATGGATAAGACACCACCTTCTCTCTAACCTACAGCCACGTCTCGGCGGCGTCCGTTTCCGAGGCGAAAGTCTTCCAAAAGGCATCTACAGCTTAACATCCACTACGGATCACAAACACTTTACCGTTTGTCATCTCAACGCTTGTTTTTTCCTTCTTTTGTTTCCCCTTTTCGCGCGGAGAATCTGTGTTTTTTAAAAGCTGGATAGATAGATTAACACCTACTTCTCTTAAAAAATCTTCTACAGCCGCGTCTTGGAGGCGTCGATTTCCGAGGCGAAAGTTCTCTAACAGGAGGCATCTACGGCTCAAATCCACTGCGTGCGGATCACAAACACTCTGCCGTGCCGTCTATCATCTCAACGGCAAAGACTGCACCGTTTGTCATCTCAACGGTTACCTAAACGGGAAGACGGAATTTGAATGGACTTTGTCCTAGTGTGGCTACTTGCATGATGTCGATTTAGGGTGTGGTGACATGCTGTATCCGTGACGGTCGTTTGTCAATCCAATCTCGGTCGGCTTGAAGCACTTGCGGTGAAATAATGCATATGTCGAATTCTTGAATTGCTGTTCGTTGAGCATGCTCGTGTACGGAATGCTTAGTGTACATGAACGGCTCCTGTGAATGACCGGAGGGTCAAGTCTCACAGAGGAGAGAGAAAGACAATCGGTCGGGCATTCTCCCACGTGTAATGGCATCGCTACATTGACGGTAAACGGCGGCGCCGAGTTTGACAAAGGAGAGAGGGTTGGTCTTCTAGCGGGACTATGTGTGGAGCGAGGAGTCCTTTTGCTTGCTCAGATCGGCTTCGGCTTTGCTGAGAGGATTGAATAAAAGAAGGCGAGAGACGGAGAGAGGGAACGAACGGAGGGCGCAGGTCACCGAAGTGGGACGAGAGAATAAAGAAGACAGCGAAAAGGAGTGGAAAGTCATAAGATTGAATTTCCGAGTATTATGTATGAGGGGCGGCGCACAACCGGCGAGTTCGGCGTGGAGGAAGCGGGGGAGAGAGAGGACGGACGACAACGGCGAGAATGACATCTCATGAATCGATGACAAGTCTTAGATTGAAGAAAGAGAGTGAAGACGAAAAATGAAAGTGAAGAGTGAGTTCCGACCCCTCCCAAGGGAAAATCCACCACCATCTCTTTGCTGCTTTCTGGGAACTCCTCGCGGAAGGAAGCGGCAGATGCATATGATTATGCCGCAATAAGGAAGTCCGGAAATAAGTCGGGGGCGGTAAGATAACCTGACTTGCGGAGAGAGAGGGAGAGAGAGAGAGAGAGGGAGTCTCTTCAGAAGTGAACGGTGGGTGCGTGGCCGGTCCATTTCCAAGGGAGAGAAGGTGTGATTGGCAAATTTTAGACTGACTGAGTTTCTAGATTCGTTCTCGTTCTCGTTCTCGTTCTCGTTCTAAGGACTGCCACGGGGAAGCAGCGTTCTTCTCGTCTTCCTTGCACAGCTTCTCTTCGTCTTCAACGTGTGCTGCGTGCTGCCCGCTCTTCCCGCCGCAGGCTCGTTTTTGGTTCTTATTTTGCTTTGCCCTCGATGTCAGTCGTTTGCGCGTGCGAGCTGTTTTCCACTGTTTTAGTTTGATAGGGTCACTCGATTTGGACTTTGTTGAAGAAGAAGAAGATGGATGCCAATGCGCGCACGGGTTTGACGAGAGGTGCGTTTGTCTCATGAACTTGTCTGATAGCCTTGTAATTGAGAAAATCTTCAGCCAATCATTTGACTGCAGCGACGGCGGTCGTATACTGCACAAGTTTCGTTGGGGAACTCGTTTTGAAGTCTGCTGGAAAACCAGAAATGAATGCGTATCTTCTCTCTGCTAGCCTTGTTGCTAAAATCTTCAGCCAATCATTTGATTGAAGTGCCGGCGGTCGCTTATACCTGACAAGTCAATCTAGTTGGAAGCTATAGTCTGGAAGTCTGGAAAACCGAAATGCGTATCATGAGCAGGATCCACGGGCTCCCCCCCCTCTCTCCTCCCCTCCCCCCTCCCGCGCCCTCTCACGATTGAGGGAGGAAGGGCTAGGACTTGTATGGGTGCGGAACAATTTACGCACAACACAGCCGGCGAGAAGAAGATGGCGGAGAAGACGTGACGACGGTGACGTGGGGAGTGCCCTTCGTCCTACTGGTGGTAGAAATCTGACAGCGTACGACAAGTACACGACAGGGAAATCCGGCGTCTGGAGTGGGAGATTTGTGAGACGTGCTCTCTCACAGTGAAAAAGTGTATAAAGTAGAAAAAGCGGTCTTTTTTTAGAATGTCAATCGAAGGAAGCGAATTTAGGCTAGGCCCTTTAGAGGTAGGCTGTTAGGTTGGATGTGGCTTTTGTGTGCTGCTTGTTGTGTGTGTGTGAATGTTGTTGTTGTGTTCGATAGGTGGGGGTGAGAGTGTTTGTTGTCGCGTGTGCTTTAACTGTGTGCTGTTGTGCCTGTAATTTGAGGCCCGCCGTGCGTCCGGATTCAATGAATTGTTTCAGCGGGGTTGCGCTCAGAGCGTCAGATGCTTGCGTACGTACATACAGTAAAAGGCGTCGAAATCGTTCCTCCCAGGTGAGACAGCTACACGCGAGAAGAAAAAAAAAAGCACAGACGCGATCTATTTGACTTTTGATACCTCGTCCTTGCTATGTTCTCCCTATTTTCTTCTTCCCTCTCCCCGTTCTCTGTGTGATGCAAGAGAAGGCGCACAATGGAACCAACATGACACGCGTATGAGGTAGGTGGGAGCGTTTGCATCTCTCCTTCTGTCCTCTTCTTACTTTTGCGCTTTTCAATGTCGAATGCATCTCTCCTTTTTCTGTCCTCTTCTTACTTTTTTTGCGCTATTAAAAGTCGAATGCATCTCTCCTTCTTCTGTCCTCTTCTTACTTTTGCGCTATTAAAAGTCGAATGCATCTCCTTCTTTTTCTGTCCTCTTCTTACTTTTGCGCTTTTAAAAGTCGAAATGGTGGGACGGGGTGGATCATGGATGACTCGCCACTTTGCCCGATTGAATAACGACAAAGGTGTTGTAGTGGAAGAGAGGGGTAAATGGGTAAATGATGCATGGAAGAGGGTGAATGGGCGTTTTGTGAGCGAACATACCGGCATCATTATGTCGGCGTGCGTAGAAAAGAAGCGAAAGTGGCGCGCTCCCTAGATGTGTTTTCTTCGTCTTGCTGACGAAGATTGTTGAAAAAAAAGGGAGAAGAAAGTGTTTTCGGTGAACGGCTGTTTTGCTCCCTTCTGTCAAAAAGATTGCGACTTTGTCAAACTGGCGGCACTGCACATGCATCCATCCCTTATGACCTATGTGCTGTCGGTCGTGAGCGTTGCTGTACGTCTGTGTGTGTGTGTGTGTGTGTGTGTGTGTGTGTGTGTGTGTGTGTGTGTGTGTGTGTGTGTGTGTGNGTGTGTGTGTGTGTGTGTGCGTGTGTGTGTGTGTGCGTGTGTGTGTTTGTGTGTGTGTGTGTGGTAAATTCACACCCCTTTGCGACAGGAGGATGCGCATTTCCGACAAATGAAATGAAATGAGAACTCTATTTTGGGGTCTATCTCGACATCCTCGCTCTGATATCAACCACCTGCAGGTCGGGTCGTTCGATAGTCGATTGGTGATATGCATGCTTGCATTGGGAGATTGCAGCGTGGCGGCCTCTGAAAGGAGTGTGTGTTGCTGAGCGTTTACTCCTCTCATTCGGTTCTCCTCTCCTCTCCTCTCTCTCCTCTCTCTCCTCTCTCGTCTCGTCATTGCGAGTTCTTTTGCTGTGTGAAAGCCCATACCCGGAACACTGTAATGAATGGTTCTTTGTATAAGTAACAAGAGAGATAATGGATGGAAGACGGACGATGAACGGACTGAAAAAGATGAGCGGAAGGTGAGCGGTGCGGGGAGAGGAGGGGAGACCCACTTGAATGAAGGTGACAACTCAGCGAACATTCCTTTTTTTTCCTTTTTTTTCTGCCTGTGTAGAGGACGGGTGCTATTCGCGGAAAAGAAGGAAAAACGCGCATCCGTTAAGCAGAGAGCGGGTGGTGGTGGGTGTGGTGATGGGGATGGGGTGGTCTTTGCATTCATTGCCGTTTCTTAAGCGTGTAGCCTAGAGAAAGCGGAGTGGGTAGGGGAACTCTCTAGGCTCCGATCCGCTCCGCTTCGGCTCTGTTTTCTCGGAGAATGTCGCTGCTGAGAAACGGAAAGCGCCACAGTTACTCTCTGTTGACTGTTGATTCACAGCTTCTGCCAGCTTCGGGAACTACGGTGAGGAGAACTTCACACTTTTCCTCACTGTAAGGATTTCTCTGTGTTTGTAATCCGGCGAGCCAGCTCGCTTTCTCTGTAGAGATTGATTATTGATAACGTTGCGAAGGAGGGAACTTCGAGGAAGTGTTGCAAAAGGACAGTCTACGCGAGAGAGAGAGAGAGAGAGAGAGAGAGAGAGAGAGAGAGAGAGAGAGAGAGAGAGAGAGAGAGAGAGGGGACACGAGGGGGAACGGAAGGGGAAAGGAGGAACTTAAACATCTGTCTTTGTCCATCACGCAGCAGTACATGTTTTGTTCTTTCCTTTCGCCAGCTCGCTTCATCTAGAAAAGAACCAACGTTTGAAGATGCAAAGAGAGACGACGTGCGTGCAATGATGGGCTCTGCCTTGTCCAGTTGTGTGGCCGCTCCCCTCTGTGCTATTTTGATTCTGCCGTTGTTATTGTGTACTACCTTGTCGCTCGCGCCGTGTGGGACCCTTTTTTTTTTTTTTTTTTTTAATGGGAACAAGGCTCCAATCTATTCGTGGCGAGCAGCACGTGCTGGGAACCGGGCCCAGCGTCCCATATGGAATTTTTTACATAAAAGTTTTGAAAATTTGAGATATTTGAGATACGGGGGCCCAGTACATAGAAGTTTTCTTTGGCTTAGAAAAACCTGAACTACTTTTTTTTTTTTTTTTTTTTTTTTTTGGGGCAAATTTGAACTACTTAGCAAATTACTACGACGAACTTCAGGAATCTGTCGATTGACGTTTTTGACATTTCTGGCAGTTGCAGGTGCGCACTCTTACACAGGGCCTCGCCACAGCACTCTCGAATTGTGCAGAAGACAAAAATTTGGTGGGCGCATCTGGCCACGTTCTAGCGGGAAGTTCATTCTCAATTTGCACATTTCGAGAGTGGTGTGGCGACGCCCGCAGTGCTACCGCTAGCGTGGACGATCTGTGACGGTGCCATTCATCTTGTCTGTGTTCTTGCGGATCGATGCTCGAAAACCTGTAAAAAAAACCGCCGAACGCGTACCACTAAAACAGTTGGCCGTTGTGTGTAGGTAAGACCTGCAATTGGTCTGGACGGCTTTGACAAGTAGTACACGCTTGAAAGACTATATGACGACAGTTGAAATTTCCATGTTTGTCCGTATGCTGTGGCTAGCTCTTGCTGTGTGCTCTTCCTTGTGCTAGCAGAACACACCGATATGTAATGCATATCACACGATCTTCTACAAGCTCTGGCGGCTCGCGTACTCCGTTCTACGCGCGTACTTAGTAATGAGAACGCATTATTTTCTCTTTCCCTTGTGTCGCCTACGCACTCGGTATTGACGAGTAGGTATGTATGACCTTGCGTGATCTTGTGTGTGTGTGTGTGTGTGTGTGTGTGTGTGTGTG